GTTTCTCTTGATAATGGCATTCTTAATTGGGAACATGTGCCCTCGAAGCCTTAATAGCTAGATCGGGGAAGATGAAAATCTGCTCTCCGGTGTGCTAGATTTTATAAATATTTGGCTGAGATTGAAGAATTCAAAGGCCAACTCGTTTTTTTTTTTTAAATTACGGTCGACAACTATCCGACTTTTTTTGGTCATTATAAGTCGCACCAAAAACCAAATCAAAGGTGTCTTTAACAGTTCAGTTCTGACTTGGAGTGTCGTAAGCTCGCCAAAATTTGGTGGAATTGATTATTTTATATTATATTCTTCTTTTAATTGCCATGTCCTTTCGGGACGTAGGCGATCGTGACTCTCCACAACTTCCTATGTTTTGTTTTCGTTATTTTTTACTATTCTTCCCGGTCCCTGTTCTGTTATCTATTTACACAAACTTGTGATATAATATTACTCGCTCTTCCCTTCCATGTGTTTTGACTTCCTTATGTCTTGTGTGTGCCAAATTCACCAAGCCCCTATTCCTCATTAACATTTACAAAATCTAGATACATGGCTCTTCACAACTTCTTCTCTTTTGATGCGCCTCCTCTTCTTTTATATACCGTGTAACTTAGGCTATCATAGTTCTCCATAACATTCCTAAACTTCTAAACAATGTTTGTCTCCATAAAGTCCTACTGTAACTACTTCTGATGGCGGTTCATTGCATATAGACGACGGGTGATCGCCATAGTGGTTGATCCATTGGTTGTGGGGCCATGATTAAACATGGTCATAAGAATCCTATTATATGGAATTTTTTTTCCTTTAACTTAATTCATTATGAACAGAGCATGGACTAACAATTACATAGAAAACGTGATATAAAAACAATATATGTAGATAAAGGTGATAAAAGGAAATCTGAGAATCTTATCAAGATAGACATTAGATTTCGTTCGAACAATATGAGATACCAATATTTAAATTTTTATATTCCTGTTCAGTTGGAAACTTAATTACCGTAATTTCTCGAAAATAATACGCATTTTTTTTAACTGTAAATTGCAGGTGAGAGTAGGGTGCGCATTATAAATAGGTTTAAACAAAATATTTATTTTGTTATTGATTTATAATAATAAATAATTTGTTGTTCTAAAATAAGAAAGATATTATCCCAATTTTTATTTTAAATCCAACAATAATTATTGTAACATTTTTTGTCAATAAATTGATGTTTATCAATAACCGCGTTTTTTATTTGGCGAAAAATAAAAAAAAAATCTATAAAAAGGACAATTTCGAAGAAAAGGGGATAACAAGTTAACAGTTTATTGAAATTTTAATTTTCATCATAATCATCATCATCATCATCATCATCATCATCACTTTCTATTATAGAATCAATATCTAAATTGTCATCAAACAAATTATCATTCACAATATTATCTTCGTCCTGTTCATAATTATCTTCGGCCTCTTCATTCTCTTGCCAAAGGATGTCATCTTCAGAGCCATCCATTGCTGCCGTGTGACAACACTTCTCGAAACCTCTCTTTATAACATCCTCACTGACGGATTCCCATTTTAGCGGTAAAATAAAATGTTATATTTATCGGGAAAACTTCATGGTAATTTTCAACTTTATTTTAGCTGCTTAGGTTCGATTTCATTCTTAATGTCAAGATCGACAAAATGTCATCGTAATTACTATTATTTTTTTGACAAAATTTATAGATGCGTATTATACATAGGGATAGATATATTTCTTAATTTTTCGATCATTTGTTGGGGTGCGTATTATTTATGGATGCGTATTATTTTCGAGAAGTTACGGTAAATGTTGCCAAGTCTTTTGGTGTCAAATCTGCTGGATTTAAGAAAGGGAGCGGAGAAAAGCATAACTCGGGTATACCGAATGTTTACATATAATGTAACGGCCTTATTAGCATTACCATTAGAACTGAAGAGAACAGATACTACACTTTGATCCAAGGGAGTGAAGAAAAACGTAAATCGTGTTACACTGGTTGTTCGGTCACTGAATGCCCAATGTTTCCACATAAATAAAGTGAATAATAATATCGTCAGCATTACTAAAAAAAATAATAAAAAAGAAAGTGTTATTTCAAAATAAGTTAATTATTTTTCCTCTGTCTGCCTTTTTCGATATAAATCGATTGTGGAAAGGTTTCGATTCTTAACATTTTGACTGGCTCAGTGTTACCTTTATATTCTGGCGCTAAGGAATCGCCTTTATTCAATTAATCCTTTACGAGCTGCTACACCCGGGAAAAAAAGGCTACCCGCTAATTATTTGTTTTAAATTTACTAAGATTTCAATACACGTGTATATTAGATTTTTATTTAGAAAGAGAAGCGACTCGTTTCTTTTTTAAATTAAAAATCTAATATTCACGTAATATACAGTAATGGTTAGCGGCTCGGGCTGAGGAAACGGAGGGCCGTGTTCGATTTCCAGTCAAATCCATTACGTTCATTACGTGCTAATACCCTCGAGAAAGGTATGAATCCTCTTCTTCTGGGTAAATAGCAAGACAGATCGGGGTCTATTTTAGCAACCCGATACCACTTTCTTATCAATGTTGAATTTTGTGCAAATCTGTGCAAAAAAGTGGATCAAAGTGCTTACTCAGCTTCATACATATTTTCAGGAAACCTCAGCTTCTAATTGCTCAATAAACACACAAGTGGGCGTTGCAGTCAATCCACGTACAAGTCTTTTTCCAGCGCGTGGCCAAGTCAAGTTTTCCCGCTTCTTTTCCAGGAGCTTCTCATGTGATTATGTTAATGATAAATATCAGATACAAATTTGTTCTTCCTCTTTTCTTGATTTCATTTGACTACGAAAATGTAACCTTAAAGGAAACTGCGTTGTGACCCCATTTCGGTCGAATGTTGAAATATATACATATTGTTGTTCCAAACATATCCCTTTTGTTGTAATTGAATATCGTTACCATTTGTTTTGTTTTTTTATTTAAATTTATGTTTGTGAATGTTGCATGTTTTATTTACAGCGAAACTTTAAAATATTCACGCAGCCTTTTTAGATCCACAACACTATTATATATAACTGGTCTACCACAGAAACAAATGGAAACCTACTGCGGGAAAAAATCTGCCTCGTCAGTCATGTACCGAAAGATACATGATCGCCTAAGCGTGTATCAGACATGGCACATAACTGACTGACTGAAAAAAATCAAAAATGTTAATACATCCGGTCGACGAAACGGTCGTTAATATCCGTTTCTAACGGAACTACCGAGAAAATTTCGAAATATTTCACAGTTTGATGTCCATGAAGTTCAATAAAATCGCTTTTAAGAAAACATCTTACAGAATTGTGTCTTTTACTTTTAAAATATTGCGCCTAATGTCAACAAACCGGCGAAATCGCATCCAATTATGGTGTTAAATAAAGATTTTATTTAGAATTAAACCAACGATTCTGTCAGATGGGGACCAGTAATATTTAAAATAGAACTGAAATCCATATCTGTCGGGTATTTATAGGGGCTTTTATTTCGATATATCTGTCTTGGTTTACGCAAAAAAAAAAAAAAAAATGGCTGCCGCACAAATTATCTGCCCTTCGCGTGACAGACACATACGGTAGGTGTTGAAGTGAACTCCTCCTTAATTTCCTAATTGTCCAAATTGTTCCTGGGGGTCGTGTTATAGTGGAACACACCTATTCTATAGTTAATAGACTCTCCCACCTATAATAAGTAGGAGTAGTAGGAGTCGCTCAAGGGGTCGGTCAGTCAGTCGACTGGCTGATCGGTTGAACTCTCTGCCTTCGGGCGGGGAGGAACCCGAAGGAGGCTACGCCGAAGGGCGGAGTCTCTTTCGGGGAGGTAAACCGACCCTGAATCCGTTTATACGGGTTCAATGGGCATATTTTTTGGCCGAGCCAACGGGCTCGGAGATCCCACGTTAAAAAACCGGCCTTGTGCCACATGACGCCCTCGTGGGTGGGTGACTGAATATCGTCGGTCAGTCAGTCGATGTCGGACGACCGTTAGTCGGATACTAAAGTATCAGCGACCGCTAGATTTCTCTGCGTCATTACCTATTATATCAAGTTCTTAACGTTTTGTACGTCGAACCTATTTTAGGACCGACTTAGTACAAATACAAGCCTCCACTGTGAAACCACTCCATAACAGGTCGCTATCTCTAAAGTGAAAATACTTGAGAATACTTCGTTCTCTCTCTTTCTTGCATTTTCAGCAGACACTGCGACCATGTAAAGCTCTCGCAGAATACTGTGTTTTCCCCTTAGTGGGGGGGGGGGCTATGCTTTTCCTCGGAAAAACGCCATGAACATTATGCACACATGCACACACACGTACACACACGTACGTACGAACATACTTTGAAACACGAACTTCTTACGTTCATGCACACACACACACACACGCGCGTGCGCGCGTTAATATTTTTGTTTTTTGTAACCCCCTTTTTTGTGTAATACACATATTTGTTTATATGTATATCAGTTTCTTGTTTTTTCCGTTACATTTTCTTTTTGGCAGACTCATTCTTTGAGGCTGCCATATTTGTAAGGGACTTTATTTCAGGAGTTCCACACGTGTTCATATCACGTGACGTAAGAATAACACGGTCCGCTACAGTAGGTAATAAGCGTATTAATATATCATTGTTTACTTTCTTCAGTTTTGTTTTTTTCGATCGTTACGCTTCAATCGCCAGAGTTTCCGGTCTTCTTCAGGTATTTACTTTCCAATCGTTAAATTTCTTTCTTTCTTTTAATTAATTTTAAAAATTTCAAAATTATTTTATACATCTGAAGAAGGCCGGAAAATCCATCGGCTAAAACATAATGTTTAAAACAACAAAGGTGAAGATAGTCGTTCCGAACGATTCATCGGCTTATGAATGAACCACATCTTTTGTTATTTTCAGTGTTCATCTTTCCCGTGTGTATTTGGACAGCGCATTGGCGACAAGCAAGAGACGCTTTCTTATCAAACATGGATTTTTTGGCGAGCATCGACAAACGGGCCGCGGATTTTGGTTTCACTACCCGCGACCTTCTCGGACTGACCAACAAAGAAGGACTTGTCTTCACTGATGTGGCCGACAGTGTCCAAGCTACGCACGTCATTCGCTACCAACAAACTTACGAAAGTATCCCCGTGTTTGATGCGACACTGACCGTCGAGACCGACGTTGTTTTGAACATCTACACAGGCCAAGTAACAGGTAAGATCGCCGAAGACATTGATAGCGATGTGGAATCAACAACACCAAACCTTCTACCCAAAGAAGCTCTCCAGATCAGCATAGCTAACGGTGGATTCCCTATAGAGGGGGCCCGCATCGAGAGCGAGGAACCGCGTCTGGAGATTTATTTAATGCCAAATAACACAGCTCGGCTCGTTTACCGTGTCTTATATTATGCAGAATCCGGCGACAAGAGTTACCGGCCTTGTTTTATGATCGATGCACAGAATGGTGAGGTGTTAGAGAGATGGAACATGCTGGAAACGACGCGTCATTTTTATCAAATGGAAGCAGTCGGCGGGAATAAAAAGATTGGACAGCGGAAATATGGGGACATCTTGCCTTATCTAGACGTTCGTAAAAAAGGGGATGACTGCATTTACGAAAACGAAGTCGTGCGAGTCATCAACCTGAATGGCAGTAAATTCTTGAACAATGAAAAACGGTCTGTGTACCACGTATCTTGCAGCCGCGGACCCAACGACAGCATCAACGGTGCCTATTCGCCGGCTAGTGATGCTCTTTTCTACAGTAAGGTTGTTTACAAGATGTATTTAGACTGGGCACATGTGGCTCCTAAGAAGAAACTACCGCTTATCGTCCGTGTTCATTACGGCCACAATGAAGTGACGGCCGTCTACAACGGCAAGAACTTCACGTTTGGCGACGGAGCCGGTGATTTCTTCCCCCTGGTCGGTTTGGATGTATTGTCTCACGAATTTTCCCATTGTTTCACTGACGAACATTCTTTTCTGATCTACGAAGGCCAGTCGGGTGGCATCAATGAAGCTTTCTCCGATGTGGCCGGTGAGGCAGCCGAATTTTATCACTTCGATAAACCGGATTGGGTCAGCGGTGATCAGATTGCTAAAAAACCAGTGCGATTACTTTGCGATCAAAAAAAGGATGGCAAATCTATTACCAATGCTGCACAGTTTGTGAAAGGTCTAGACGTACACTATTCAAGCGGCGTTTACAATCGATTCGCCTGCTTACTATCCAACATGGAAAACTGGGACACCAAGAAAGTCTTTCAGACAATGGTCCATGCCAACAGGTTCTACTGGCATCCAAAAACCGATTTTGCCGAAGGCGCTTGCGATATGACCAAAGCCGCTTACGATTTGGGTTTTGACATAGAATCGGTGGTGACCGCCTTCGAATACGTCGGCGTCAATGTTTGCGATATTGGTAGTTACATGCGGAATATCCACCCCGGTTCGCTCATTTCAGGACTGAAAGCCGACGAGGGTGAACAGGTTGTTTTACAGTTGAGGGTCAAAGTCCCGACAAAAGAAATGCGGATCGTGTCTTACTCCGGCAGCGGAGAAATGGTTTTGTTTGTGCATTATCGCAAATTACGGAAGAGCAGAAATGCTCAGTGGAGGTCAAAGCAGCCGGGAAACAATCAGTTTGTGAAGATCGATGCACCAAAACTGGGTCGTTATTATGTTGTGCTTGAACCAAAAAGCAATTCGAAGTTCTCGGGGGTGAAAATAAAAGTGAATACGACCAACTCCTGATTGCTTTGCAGTTGCTGTTTGAATTCAAAACACTATTGCTGCTTCGTCTCTCTTTGCTTGAACATCTAAGCAAAAATGAAACACTTGATGGCATTCCCTTCCTAATTTAGAAGCAAAACGTAATTAACTACCTTAATCTGTAAATCAGTCACACACACACACACATATATATATATATGTGTTGTTTAGAATGTCATATTCCATCAGGAAAAAGGTGCTCAATATCGGGGAGAGAACAAACCAGGCTATATCTATAGAAAAATAAAACTTAACAAATCTGGATACCCACTCAGACCAATAATATCACGGATCCCCACCACATAGCAAAAACTCTAAACAATATCATCCAACCATATATACCGAACAAATACTGCATTATATCAACTCCTGACTTCATGCAAATATTACATTCCACCCACCGCTAATAACTGCATAACGTCATCTCCATCCATCCTTCAATCCCCACCCCTGCCATAAAAGCTGCAATTCCGAAAACTACTCCAAGTCTGCACCTCATAAGTTCCCTTCTACCTCCCACCCATGGAGAAATATACATACAAACCGATGGCGTTTCTATTGGTTCTCCTCTTGGCCCCATGTTTTCTGAATATGTTACATATCGAAAATACAATATTCAACGAGCAAATAACTAAACCTGCAATCTACGTCAGATACTTCGACGGTACATTCATGGCTACACAGTCCCACGATAAAATAAATAAACTAAAATATACCCTAGATAAAATTCCGTACTAAATTTCACCACTGAATTTAAGATCAACAAAAAAATTCCATTCCTAGATGTATTTATCGACAACAGTAACAAAAACAAATTCACTACATCTCTGTGGAAAAATTCACAATTCTTGACTTCTGAACTACCATAGCAAATTTCCCCAAAATATAGAATGGCCCGGATCAAAAACTTAATCAAAAGAGCCTTTTACATCTCAACAAGAAACATATTTTACAATGCAACAGCCACTTTTACTACAACAGTTTCTTTTTCTCGTACTTCCCACCCATGGAACTCTCTTCCAATTTCTTATTTTCCTGATAATTACAATCTTCCAAAATTTAAATGCAACGTTAATCGCCATCTTCTGTGTTCTTGAATCCCGTCCATCTTTTGTCTTTTTTCTCAATCCTCCCTATACTCAGTCTTTTCTCTCAATTTCACCTCCTGTAATCCCCCTGTTACTAGTGGCATTCCTTTTGTCAAGCGCCATCTTCTCTTCTTGAATCCTCCATCTTTTGTCTTTTTTCTCAATCCTCCTATACTCAGTCTTTTCTCTCAATTTCATCTCCTGTAATCCCCCTGCTTACTAGTGGAATTCCCTCCTTGCCCAAGCGCCATCTTCTGTCTTCTTGAATCCCGTCCATCTTTTGTCTTTTTTTCTCAATCCTCCCTATACTCAGTCTTTTCTCTCTTTCACCTCCTGTAATCCCCCTTCTAGTGGCATTCCCTCCTTGCCTGGTGTCCATTCTGTCTTTTGAATCTCCATTTTTGTCAATCCTCCCTATACTCAGACTTTTCTCTCAATTTCACCTCCTGTAATCCCCCCTGCTTACTAGTGGCATTCCCTCTTTGCCTGGTGTCAAGCGCCATCTTCTGCCTTCTTGAATCCCGTACATCTTTTGTCTTTTTTCTCAATCCTCCCTATACTCAGTCTTTTCTCTCAATTTCACCTGTAATCCCCCTGCTTACTAGTGGCATTCCCTTCTTGCCTGGTGTCAAACGCCATCTTCTGTCTTCTTGAATCCCGTCCATTTTTTGTCTTTTTTCTCAATCCTCCCTATACTCAGTCTTTTCTCTCAATTTCATCTCCTGTAATCCCCCTTACTAGTGGCATTCCCTCCTTGCCTGGTGTCAAGCGCCATCTTCTTTATTCTTGAATCCCGTCCATCTTTTCAAGCTCAATCCTCCCTATACTCAGTCTTTTCTCTCAATTTCACCTCCTGTAATCCCCCCCTGCTTACTAGTGGCATTCCCTCCTTGCCTGGTGTCAAGCGCCATCTTCTGTCTTCTTGAATCCCGTCCATCTTTTTTCCATTCCTGAGTCCTCCGAATATTCAGGCTATTCTTTCACTTTCACCTCTGTAATCCCCTGCTTACTAGTGGCATTCCCTTCTTGCCTGGTGTCAAGCGCCATCTTCTGTCTTCTTGAATCCCGTCCATCTTTTGTCTTTTTTCTCAATCCTCCCTATACTCAGTCTTTTCTCTCAATTTCACCTCCAGTAATCCCCCTGCTTACTAGTGGCATTCCCTCCTTGCCTGGTGTCAAGCGCCATCTTCTGTCTTCTTGAATCCCGTACATCTTTTGTCTTTCTTCTCAATCCTCCCTATACTCAGTCTTTTCTCTCAATTTCACCTCCTGTAATCCCCCTGCTTACTAGTGGCATTCCCTTCTTGCCTGGTGTCAAACGCCATCTTCTGTCTTCTTGAATCCCGTCCATCTTTTTTGTCTTTTTCAATCCTCCCTATACTCAGTCTTTTCTCTCAATTTCACCTCCTGTAATCCCCCCCCCTGCTTACTAGTGGCATTTTCCTTGCCTGGTGTCAAGCCTTCTGTCTTCTTGAATCCCGTCCATCTTTTCCATTCCTGAGTCCTCCGAATATTCAGGCTATTCTTTCTTTCACCCTCTAATCCCCCTGCTTACTAGTGGCATTCCCTTCTTGCCTGGTGTCAAGTCTTCTCTTCTTGAATCCGTCCATCTTTTGTCTTTTTTCTCAATCCTCCCTATACTCAGTCTTTTCTCTCAATCCAATCCCCCCTTTACTAGTAGCTTTTGGTGTCAAGCGCCATCTTCAATTCCCGTCCATCTTTTGTCTTTTTTTCTCAATCCTCCTATACAGTCTTTTCTCTCAATTTCACCACCTGTAATCCCCCTGCTTACTAGTGGCATTTCCCTCCTTGCCTGGTGTCAAGCGCCATCTTCTTTATTCTTGAATCTTCCATCTTTTTCTCAATGCCCCTATACCATCTTTTGTTTTTTTTCTCAATCCATCTTCTGTCTTCTTGAATCCTCCATCTTTTTCCATTCTTTCCTCCTGAATATTCAGGCTATTCTTTCACTTTCCCCCTGTAATCCCCCTGCTTACTAGTGGCATTCCCTTGCCTGGTGTCTTGCCATCTTCTGTCTTCTTGAATCCCCGTCCATCTTTTGTCTTTTTTTCAATCCTCCCTATACTCAGTCTTTTCTCTCAATTTCACCTCCTGTAATCCCCCTGCTTACTAGTAGCTTCTTGAATCTTCTGTCTTCTTGTCCATCTTTTGTCTTTTTCTCAATCCTCCCTATACTCAGTCTTTTCTCAATTTCACCTCCTGTAATCCCCCTGCTTACTAGTGGCTTCCCTCCTTGCTTGTCAAGCGCCATCTTCTGTCTTCTTGAATCCCGTCCATCTTTTGTCTTTTTTTTTTTCTCAATCCTCCCTATACTCAGTCTTTTCTCTCAATTTCATCTCCTGTAATCCCCCCTGCTTACAGTGGCATTCCTCCTTGCCTGGTGTCAAGCGCCATCTTCTGTCTTCTTGAATCCCGTCCATCTTTTGTCTTTTTTTTTCTCAATCCTCCCTATACTCAGTCTTTTCTTTTCACCTCCTGTAATCCCCCTGCTTACTAGTGGCATTCCCTCCTTGCCTGGTGTCAAGCGCCATCTTCTGTCTTCTTGAATCCGTCCATCTTTTGTCTTTTTCTCAATCCTCCCTATACTCAGTCTTTTCTCTCAATTTCACCTCCTGTAATCCCCTGCTTACTAGTGGCATTCCCTCCTTGCCTGGTGTCAAGCGCCATCTTCTGCCTTCTTGAATCCCGTCCATCTTTTGTCTTTTTCAATCCTCCCTATACTCAGTCTTTTCTCTCAATTTCACCTCCTGTAATCCCCTGCTTACTAGTGGCATTCCCTTCTTGCCTGGTGTCAAGCGCCATCTTCTGTCTTCTTGAATCCCGTCCATCTTTTGTCTTTTTTCTCAATCCTCCCTATACTCAGTCTTTTCTCTCAATTTCACCTCCTGTAATCCCCCTGCTTACTAGTGGCATTCCCTCCTTGCCTGGTGTCAAGCGCCATCTTCTTCTCTTCTTGAATCCCGTCCATCTTTTGTCTTTTTCTGAATCCTCCCTATACTCAGTCTTTTCTCTCAATTTCACCTCCTGTAATCCCCCCTGCTTACTAGTGGCATTCCCTTTTTGTCAAGCGCCATCTTCTGTCTTCTTGAATCCCGTCCATCTTTTTCCATTCCTGAGTCCTCCGAATATTCAGGCTATTCTTTCACTTTCACCCTCTGTAATCCCCTGCTTACTAGTGGCATTCCCTTCTTGCCTGGTGTCAAGCGCCATCTTCTGTCTTCTTGAATCCGTCCATCTTTTGTCTTTTTTCTCAATCCTCCTATACTCCATCTTTTCTCTCAATTTCACCTCCAGTAATCCCCCTGCTTACTAGTGGCATTCCCCTTGCCTGGTGTCAAGCGCCATCTTCTGTCTTCTTGAATCCCGTCCATCTTTTGTCTTTTTCTCAATCCTCCCTATACTCAGTCTTTTCTCTCAATTTCACCTCCTGTAATCCCCTGCTTACTAGTGGCATTCCCTCCTTGCCTGGTGTCAAGCGCCATCTTCTTTCTTCTTGAATCCCGTCCATCTTTTGTCTTTTTTTACTCAATCCTTTTTCTTCTCTCAATTTCACCTCCTGTAATCCCCCTGCTTACTAGTGGCATTCCCTTTTGGGTGTCAAGCGCCATCTTCTGTCTTCTTGAATCCTCCATCTTTTGTCTTTCTTCTCAATCCTCCCTATACTCAGTCTTTTCTCTCAATTTCACCTCCTGTAATTCCCTGCTTACTAGTGGCATTCCTTCTTGCCTGGTGTCAAACGCCATCTTCTGTCTTCTTGAATCCCGTCCATCTTTTGTCTTTTTTTTTTTCTCAATCCTCCCTATACTCAGGCTTTTCTCTCAATTTCACCTCCTGTCCCCTCTTACTAGTGGCATTCCCTCCTTGCCTGGTGTC